GAAAAAAACAATGCTTTTAAAGAAAAGAATGCCATCCTTAATGTGAAACATATAAAAGTTCCATAATGTTATGGGGTTGCTTTGTTGCCTCTGGCACTTGAATCTGTGCTAGACACAATGAAATCAGAAGATTATCAAAGCATTTTGCAGCGAAAAATAACTGCCTAATGTTAGAAAGCTCTATCTCAGTTTCAGATCATGGGCCTTCTAGCAAGATAATGACCCTAAACATACATCTAAAAGAAGCCAAAAATGGTTGAAAACCAAACATTGGATTGTTGTAATGTGGCCTGTTATGAATTCTGATCTGGATACAATTGCCCAACTATGAAAAGAGCTGAAGCTCACTGTTGGGAGAAGGAATGCACTGAATCTAAGAAAACAGGAATAATTTGCTCAAGAATGGGTCAAATTGCCAGTTGAGAAGTGAAGTCTCCTTCAGAGCTGAAAGCATTTGATTGTAGTTATTGCCTCAAAAGGATGTGCTACAAAATATTAGGCTGTGAACATTATATCCATGCTCTTTTCATTTGTTTTTTATTTATAAGAAAGTTATATCCCACTTTTTTACCTAGCAGGTGTTCAGTAATAATATTTTTCCATAATACAGGAACTTTATAGTAATGACATAGGAAGATATTTGTTTATGCATATTACATACATCTTTTAGCCCATTTATATGATGCTATCTTCAATGTGCAGTTGAGATAATTAGAACTTATGCAATTTAATTTATCTTTTTCTCAAAGATAAAGAAGCCAGTTCTTCTCATCTCTATTTCTAAATTCCAATTTCATTTTGGATTTGACGAGAACTTACCTGGCTTTCAGAATTGAAAACAATGATTGGAAATTACTTTGTTGTCATTTTTCCTCCAAGCTATGCTTTCTAATTCTGTGATACAGAAAAAAACTACTTTGATTTTGTTCCAAACCAGAAAATAGAATATTTACGACAGGGAGGCAATATAAAATGAGAGAGTGTATTCAGAATTGCCAAATCATGGTTTAATTATTAGGAACGTCGGTATGTATATGTGTGCCTTTGAATCAGTTTTTGCCTCCTAGTGACCACCTGAAGAAGTCTTTGCACTTTCCATAACAAGATGTTATGGAACTGGTTTTTGATTGCCTCCTTCCTATGGCGGAGAGAGAGTGACTGACCCAAGATCATTCAGGTGGCTTCATGCCTAAAGTTGGACTAGAACTTGCAATCTCCCAGTTTCTAGCCTGATGCCTTGACTACTGCACCAAATTGAATCTCATTATGAACATATTATATTTGCTTTATTCAAATCTCACTTGGTCTTTGTTTGCAGTCCTAGTCCAAAGTACAAGTATTAAACAGCAGTGGTTATCATGGACAGAAACCCTGGTGCCTGATGGAATGCATATTCTATATTTTCATATTCATATCCTAAGATTATATTTAGAGTCATGGTTTTACTACTGTTTTGTGCTTAGGTACAAAAAATTACTACCCAGATGCAGGCCTTATAGTTAACCACCCTGAGTGGCTGGTTCAATATAGGTGACTGTATAAATTAAATAAATAAATTACAAAATTGATATCTCTCTGGGGTATGCAAGGAAATATATCCAAAATCAATCAATTTGAAAACAAGAATCATTAGTTAATGTAATAATGTACTAATTTTTAAATAGATAGAAACATTACAAATATTCTAGCCAATGCTTTTATTGATCTTATTATATATAATTTATTTTATTATTCATTTTAATAAATCTTAATTTTTATTTTTATGTTTTTAGTGTTTGTGTGGTGTAAGCTGCCATGAGTTTATCTAGATTAGAAGAGCAGTATCAATAATTTAAAAATAAATGTACAATTGAGCTATTCGCTCTTCTGATATTTGTGGTTTGTTTACTTTTAACATGTGTACACAAATGGTTTGTTCAACAAATCATGGTTATTAAAATCCCGGATTAGCATTAACTCTTAAATGCAGCCAATTTGACAATGTGAAAATGTATGCTTTACGTCAGTTGTTCTCAACCTGTAGTTCGCAGAGATAAGTCTTGATGGTCCATGGCCACAAAGAGTATTGAAGAAAAGGTTGAGAATCACTGCTCTGCGTACTTTTTCCTGAATTAATATATAATATTGTAAACAGTGCTTTCTCCAGCAGGATGGCTGTAGAGTCCAATGGATGGGTTCTATGACAGCCTTCCTGCCCGGCAGACTGGGTAAAAACTTTGGCCACACCCTTCCCTTGGGCATGATCCCAGTTTTGACTCAGTCTCAAAGCCTGTTAGCAGGCAGAGATTTAGCTCCTGAGAAATTCACTTAAAAATAGGATCCTTCCCGTTCTCTGTAAAATCTACAACTACTGGCTCGGGGCTCTGAGCCGTTAGCAGATCTCCGTTCCCTGAGGAATTTTTTCTCGATCGACAGAGTGGTGAGAGTATCCCCCAGGGTCTAGAGGTCCTAGCTAAGGGGATCGAGCCGGCTTCTTCGGAGCGCTTGCCGCGCTCCGGTCTGCCCAAATCAGCTGTAGAGCGCAAGGAAGCAAAGCCCGATCGGCCGACGGAGCCGCCGTGCCCGCTCGCCCCAAAATCAGCTGAAAGGCGCGAGGCTTCGAAGCCCGAAAGGCGCCAGAGCCGCTTTTCATCTAACGGCGTTACAGGGAGGCAAAGATTAACAGGACACAGGCCTTCCCTTTGTCGGCTCCGCGACCCTCCCAGTCACCTGAGGATACCTACGGGGTCTGGGGGGGTGCCCAGTGCAGGATCCGCGCCTCTCTGAGCCTCTAGGCTGATTACCTCAGCCGTGAAACCGCCATTTTCAGCCTCGTGGCTCCATTGTCAGTTAGCTGTTGGAAGGCGTGACCTTCTGTTAGACGCCATTTTGGCTGTTATAGTTTAGTCCTCCATTTTAGGTGGATCTACCATCCGGAGTTTTACCTCATAGATTATATAATTGTTAAAAAAAAATAAAATTAATTAATTAAATAAATAACAACAATAAACAAATAGGTATTGAAATAAGAAAGAAGGAAAGAGAGGGGAAGAAAGAGTGAACCTACCTTCTTACAACTCGTGATCTGTTTTCACAGCCACATATTGGGGAAAATAATTTATCACTTCTACAGGTGCCCTTCTATTAGGCCTGTTCATTGACCTTGGTGAAAGGGGTGAGGAGAATTTGAACTCTGTCTAACTGTTCCTTATTGTGACCTTTAGTCACTGCCCTACAAGTTCCTTCCTCTCCAAAGGAACCTGTCTGTCCGGCCATTGTTTTCTGTGTAGAAGAGGGCCATAGGCCCCAATTATCTGCAACTGATCTGGGTACAGTCTTTTCCCCACTCCAGGTATTGCCTACTCGGGGTACCTGGCCACAATGGCAGACAATGTCTCGCATTCAGCTACGCAGGGCCCCCAACTGCCCCCCCCACAACAACAGCAAAAACGCAGATCTTCTGAATCTGAGGGGGGGGGAAGAAGAAGGCTAAAACAAAGCACCTTATCCAAAGGGGTCCATCCAAAACAGCTGAGTGAGAGGCCTCGAGGAGACATTTGGCTCTAGAAAGACAGTTTGCCAGGGCCCAGAAAAACCCTTTTGTACATTTACAGTGATGTAAGCTTTAGTCCAGATGGAATCCAGCATACTGATGTTTTAAAAGCAGCTGGCATAACCAGGGGAAAGGAAATAGTTGTTACGTTAAAAGATCATCAATAAATAACATATTTGGTTACATTGATGCAATATTGTCCCCATCCTCATATCAATGGGTAACAAATTTAGGATAAACCATATGTACACTTGCATTCAAAAGACTGCATCACCTTGCTAATGGAGGAATAACATACTAAACTAATAGTTTACAAGGAGAAGAAAAAAGAATACTTAGGAATATGCTTTTTTCTTAGGATTTGCTGTAATTGCTTTTTTCAATTTTAGCGACTAGTCAGGTATTTTCCAACTCTATTCATATTTTTCAAAAGCCAGAATTAGGGCTGTTGGTGTTTGCTGCCCACCCCTTGGATTGGGGCCCAGGTTAGTCATACAGAGATCTGGCCCTGAAATATAGATGACTTGATCCCCCAGTATACCAATACAATCTAGCTAAAAGTCTCTGAACTGGAAAATAATTGGTCTTTCAAAAACATTAATACTGCAGGCCATCCAGACTGATAACAGTCTTAAATATGTTAATCTACCTGAGTTTGTTTAGATTGTTACTTTTTGGAGCTATGATTCTAATCAGAAAGTGCAGAAAATTGATAAAGTTTATTGTAAAGAATGGCATTAATGTCTTCTGGCTCTACAATCAAAACTACATTATTTCATTGATAGTTGAGTGTTCAAAACCACTGTCTCCAATTTTCTTTTACAACATCCATGATAGAAGTTCGATCTGATAAGCTTATTCATCATCTATCTCAGTGTTTCTCAACCTTGACAATTTTAAGGCATGTGGACTTCAACTCCCAGAATTCCACAGCCAGCAAATTGTCAAGGTTGAGAAACACTGATCTATCTGGACTGTGATTTTTTTTTCGAAGTAAACATCAATTTGTGGGGAAAGAGAATTTTCCCAAATATTAGGGAACCAGTTTGGTGTAGCGATTAAGGTGCTAGCCTAGAAACGAGATTGTGAGTTCTAGTCCCATTTTAGGCATGCTAACGCCTGGGTGACTTTTTGCCAGTCACTCTCATGTGGTTGTTGTTGTGGAAAAAATAGGAGGAAGGGGTATCGGTATGTTTGCCACTTTGAGTTGTATATTTTTTTTTAAAAGACAAGATAAAAATCCAAAAAACAATAGCTATTTTTAATATTTTAATATTTTTAAAAAATATTAAATTGCCTTGGTATCTTCTAAACATTAGCAATGAAGTGCATCAGAATTTTCCCTGAAATGTATGTCAAAGAATGAGATCCGCTTTCCTTTATGAGCAAGAAGAAATATTCTCATTGTTCTCAGAAATGTGAAAAATACATTATTTTAAAATTATACTTTTTTTATCATCCTCTGCAGAGTATTGGGAAGGGGTCTTTGTGGTGTATAGACCCAGAATATAGACAAAATCTTATCCAGGCTTTGAAAAAAACACCCTATCACCCATATTCCCATGTGTTCAGCACACCTCCAGCATCTCCTCAGGCATATCAAAGGTAAGAAAACTTGAACATACTTTTATATGAACATGGCAAAGTCTGTAAATTAGCTATGTACTGACTTCAGATTTGCAAGTGAATTTACTGTTCAAATATGTTAAATCTAGAAGGAATGTACGCATGCATGTTTTAAATAAGTAAAATATAACTAATATATGATAAGCAGCCTAAGTAGGAGTGAGCAACCTGCATCCAATGAACGGCATGTAATGATCAGACTGATAATTTATTTCCTTCTTTAGTATCTACTTCTTTAGTGTCTACTAAATCAATAACCAGATCCATTTTTTTTTTACATTTAAGGATTACCTTACAATATAAGCCTTAGAATGTATTTAAAAGAATAAAATACCTATTGGTCCCACAATTCTGAGATGCCTACATACAAAAAGTAGGGGAAAAAACTAGGAAAGTACTGCCCTGCTTGTCCCAAAGGTGCTTTTTCAAAAGATAACTGGACTTTGTTTTTCCTTGAAAACTTTTAGACAAGCGAAACGTCAGCAAGGAAAAACAAAGTCCATGTATCTTTTGAAAAAAGCACTTTTGAGACAACCATGACCTGGATGACTGAGAATCTCCATAGATATACTGCCCTGCTTATGACAACCTCCAAGACACAAATTAAAAAAAAATGTTGGGGTCAAAGTCTTACCAAGGTTGTTCACACCAATTGTTGTTCAGAATAAGGCTTACTCAACATTTTTCTTTGAGTGTATCCAACTACCTGATTACATCGAGTGGTCCTCTCAAAACTATGTGATAATTAACAAAAAATTAGAGCTTGCCAATCCCAGTCATGAATGGTTACATTAATTATAAAAAAGGTAGGTCCCCACCTGTTGCCAGACCATAGTCATTCTTACAGCCGTAATTTGAACTATAGAATTTCTTACCAGTTTTGATGAAAGTTACATGTCCGCTTCAATTAATTACTCTATGTTGCACTGCTTCTGTAATTATTACCAAAAATCTTTGTCCTCTGTACTTCAGTTAGAAGCTGTGAAGTATAAGAAAAGATTCCAGCTTTTCATGTTAGGCTTTCATGAGTGGATAGATTGCTGCCGAATCTTTTTCTCTAACGCTATGTTTGGAAGATTGCCTCATATAAACTTTGGCTTCCAGGTGATGAAAGTATGTGTTTTGTTTTTTTAAAACTGCTGCTGTTGTGGTTACCTGCTCTGCAAAGTAAGTGTGAGCAATTATACTAGTTGCCATAGTGCTTTTCTGTTTGGTAAAAGGATCAGTCAGATCTGGCAACTTTAAAATGGCAGGGAAAAAAACTCTTAATGGATGAGTTTGTCTTTTTGTCCTACTGCAGTGGGGAAAAAAGGTATGGCAGATGTAAAACTTGCCACATTTCAAGTCTGCTTGAACATATATGATTTATTACAGGAAGTTTGAAATCCATAATTGCTGCAGCACTTAGCATGATATTAGATAGCTGTAAATAATAAATGTTTTCTAACATCTGTGTAAAATAGAGCCATGCCTTCATTTTCCCTAAGTACAGACATTGGTTACACAAACGATTGTCTGATAGCATTTTTTAAAATGCCTATTAATATTGAGATTTGGGAGTGCAGTTGCACTCTTCAGTTATAATATTCCTTTAAGAAGTGGCAACTTGCAATGTAATTTCATTCTGGTAACTCTAATAAAGTGCCTGAGCATCTCTGCTGAGCCCTGCGTTCCATCACATGGCCCAAACAATCAATCTTCAGGCAGAGATTGGGAAGAACAGCTGGGCTTTTGCAGGGAACGGCTGTATGTCTGCCCTTGCTAGGCGATTAGCTTGATGGTAACCATAGTAACTAGAAGGCCTCCATAGCAACGCATAGCTGAGACAGGTGCAGTTACATCACAAGGCTGTTAGTTGCCTGGCAAAAGGACAGGCCATTAGTACTAAGACATGCACTGTTGCCTTGGTAACAGATAACCTTACATAGAAACTACAATGGGTTTGAACATTTTATCATCCTGATTAAAAAGAAAGGGGGGGGAGGGATTTCATCTTCTTTTCCTTATTTTTAATTTAATTATTAAGAACTCTTTTATACATGGTCATTTGAAATTACAAAATGTTTTGTTGTAAAAAAAATGAAAAGAGAATAAAGAATAGCAATTGAAAGTTTTCAGTAGCTATAGTAGCTTAAGAATTGATAATAACTTAAACATTACAAATTATAATCTACATTGTCTTCCCAGTCAGTGAATTCTATAAAAAAAAATCTTTGCTTCATTCTGTATTCATGTATGAATTAGGAAACATATTTGTTCTCCAAATATGCTGGAATACAACTCAATAATTCAACTAAATCCAGAGATTTGCTGGCTTGAAATTTTGGGAATTATGAGTTGCTGCATTTGAAGGGAACCAGATTGGAGGAAGACTGAGCTAGCTAAATATTTTGTAATTTGGCTTGCAGGCATTCTGGGTGACATTATATGCTTCAGCAACAATAATCCTCTTCTGCAAAGCTCTTATTATATATGCCATTCAAATATTTATTTTGATTTTTTTCCCCATTAAGGGCAGAATACAATTGGACATGTGGGAAAGCTTCAGATAGTGCACAATGAAGGGCCATTTTGTCTTTGCCAGTGTACCGTAGATACCATACTTGCTGTTATCACAATTCTTGGATGCAGTAGTGGAGCAGTAATGGTTTAGAAACAGTGTATTCCCCCCTCCCCTCCTACTAGTTCTGAATGTTGTCATTTCATTCCACCTTTTAATATGGGAAAAGGAGATAATTCAAACAATGTTTCCATGATTATATACAGAGGTTTTCTATGTTTCTTTGTCTAGGTTTGACAATATGTTTCAAAACAGCATTTTAGTGGGTTTCAGAATTACTGTCATTGAGACAATTGACATAATGCATTTTACATCAAAGGAAATATAGCTTGATTTAAAAGTTTTCCTGTGGTAGAAACAAGCTTGCATATCAATGTATTTACATTCTTAGAGAAGAAAACAATGTGGTTAAAATCAGTTCAGTTAAGGCAGGGGTGTCAAACTGCTGGCCCACAGGTCGGATGTATCACGCTGAAACCGTGCCCACCCCATTGCCGGCAATGGGGAAAAAGTTGCGATACGTCACGTGACTTTGCGAATTTGACACTCCTGGGTTAAGGGATATTTGCTGATGCATTAACCTAAACATTATATTGCTAGAAGTTTCTTGGCCAGGCAAATCTGTGGAAATGAAATGTATCAAGTCTGGTTGAAGTTGTCCCTATTCATATATCATAAGGTTACATAACAGTAGAACAGTTCTTACCTAATCAGTGAAAATCTACTTCTGTGTAATACATTTTATAAAAAGACTGCTGCATACTTTGACTATTAAGTCCTTTGAAGATCTAATGAATAGAAATTGTTTTGTTTATGAAGACAGCTGATTGAAAATATAAGAAGAGTCTGTATCACTGCAGATACTAGTATGATCCACAAAGATTTCTCGAGGGCCAAGTACCTGTGACAACTTTCAGCCCAAAATGTAGAGAGGAAATTGCTCTCCGTTCTAGTCATACTCCAGGCTGGAACTTGCCCTCTTTCAGGATACTTTATTTCATGACTGTTTCATAGCTTCCCAGTTCTTCACAATTAAATAGATTAGGTGGTTTTATATACCCCATTAAAGACTTTCTCTCACCTCTGCAAAGCTTGGGGCTCCTCCAAATTAGTTGAGTCCATTTTGAATTGTGTCATTTTGGATATTTAAGAAACAGTATTTGAAAATTTGAGGTTGGTATAAATGATAGCAATTCTGTATTGTCCATGTTTCAGTAATCACTTTACTTTTATGACTGTAATGACATTTGGAGTCCTAGTTATGTAGAAAATATTATGTAACTTCTAACTGATACTTGTTGCAGTGGATATATATTGAACTAATAGAGATGACATTCCATTAAATTTATAGAAAAAATATAGCCTTTAAACAGCTGCAATAATAGTTTATTAAATAACTGGTGATATTTTTCTATAAGAAAAATGAGAATAAATATGGAGATGTAATTTTTTACCTGCTTGGAAATTATTTTCATTTGTTTCTTATAATACTACAGCACCTTTGACTTGTATGATAAAGTTGTCCCAAAAAATAAATAAATCTGCCCTTACGGCTGTCAGCTTGGCCCTAAAGTTGAAAACATAGGTATTCTCTGAAGCTGACAAGAATCAGCTTTTGCAACTGGTTCTTTCTATGCAATATATTAAAAGCAATAATTTAAGCTTCTGCATCTTTGTGTAGCTCCTATTAACTTTGGGATTGTACAGTAGGCTTTTTTTGTTTATTAAAAGCAACAACAATCAAGTTGGTCCATAAGGAAAAACTGAACACCCACAGTAGGGCAATAGCTTTCTGAGAACTAATCAGAATGGCACAACTGTCTTCCTCACTGGACAAGATATTTCAAAATGCAAGAGATGGGGAAGAACAAGAAAAATCTACAAATTAAATAAATTGTGTAATGTAAAATATGCCTCAAGTTGGAGATTGCAACTTGAGATGTATTAGTTAGTGATAAATTTTGTTACTGCAGGATTATAATCAGGGTGCCATGAAACATTTGTCCTGTCTGGTTTTATTTTTTATTATTTTTAGATAGTAATAATGATGGTAATAATGCAAATCTATATTTCTAACAATTCATTTAGTTGTTATAAGACTATGGCACTATGTTTTGTTTGGAAATATGCTAAATTCCCAATAACAAAATACAAAGCTTAGCTGAGGAGTTACAGCAGGAGCTAAAATTGCTGGTGGAAGGCATCCTTATGTGTTTTCCTTCTAGTAAATGAGTGCTATGTGATTGGTTGTACCTGTTGTGTTAAGTCATTTGTGAAAAAATAACCATAAATGTTCCGAATGTATCCACTGTCTCAAGAAGATTGGGAATTTTGGATGACAAGTAGCAGTTGGAGGGAAAAAATATCTGATCTTTCCAGCTCTGTAAACACGGAAGGCTTAGTCCCTCCTGGTTAATATTGCAATATTTCTGCGTTCAACTTTGCTGGAAGTGTTTTGTGGAAGATAAATTAGGAAAAAAAGTTTTAAAAATTAAAATGTTTTTTTTTCTTTTTTCACTTATGAAGTTATTTAAAATACCAATACAGTATTTTAAGTAGAGTATTAGATTAGCAACTTATAAATACAAAATACACATTGCTGAAACTGTTCCTATTATATAAACTTCTGTTGGGAGGTCATTACAAGGTACTGTTCCAAGTTGAAAGCATTTCATGAAATGCTACCTGCCATTTCTTAAATAATGGTTTTGCATATATGTATGTACCTGAAGCATTCATTCTGTTCGGATTCTCTGTTGGTAGAAACCTGCAAAACTAGTTTTCAGAAGTGACTGAAATCTCCAAAAGAGAAGCAGATTCTCTCTTGCAAGTCAGCATTTTGTAATACGACTGTGATGTTACATGAACAGATGCTATCTTCAAGGAGAAATCAAATGTCAGCATTCCACTGCATCCCCCCCAAATGCTGGATCTTGCTACATAGTTCAAACTACAGGCAGAATGGCTTTAACTCTTCCAGTAATAAAAAGCCTCTAGGGGGTTGGATTAAGAGAAGGAATTAGAAGATTTATACAGCTTGTCTGGCAGGAAACCACAGAGGGAAAATGACCCACTGTTCATGTCTTTCAAACCTTGGAAAGAGATGCATTTGCTAAGTTTGACACAGTGTTTTAAAGCTTATTCTACTCAGTGCTGTTGCTGTGATGCACATATTCTTTTTCAGTTATCTGGGATCTGGGTGTACGACCCAAATATTGTATGTGGTAATGTGAATGCAGTGCTGCTTATGCATTGATTGCAATAGCTGCCAGTATTTAATATAGGTTTCCAGTGGTACCAGGAGATGCCAACTTTGGCCAGCTTTTTTTGGCCAGTTATTTTGCTGATTCAACATCAGTTTTCTTTAACAGAATAAGCTTTTTCCAAGCTTTTCTTAACTACATTGCTTTGTATCAAGATCACTTCACCTGAAATATTTTCCTATGTGCTTTTGAACATTTATTAATAAAACAGGTAGTTGTTGACTTATGACCGATCACTTAATTACTATTAGAAGTTACAACAGATTCAAAAAAAGATTACTTACAATGTATCCTCAAAGTTAGGACTACCACCATTACTATCACCCTGTGGGTTGCATAATCACATTACTGAGTCATTGACAACCAGCTAACATTTATGATCAATTAAAGTGCCCTGTGGTCATATGATCATTTTTGTGATCCATCGGATAAGGTGGATTCGGACTTATGACTATGTATTCACTTACTACTATGTGATGCACTTAATGACTATGGCGACTCACTTAATAACCATTGTAAAATGATTATAAAAATCAGATCCTG